AGATATATGTTCATTCCGGCATAATTGTTGGTATGTATGTGGGTTCTGTTAAAGCGGGCTAGATAGTGACAGATATGGATACATTTAGAGAGAGAGAGAGAGAGAGAGAGAGAGAGAGAGAGAGAGAGATACAGAGAGAGATACAGAGAGAGATACAGAGAGAGAGACGAAGACGGAGACAAAGACAGAGACTTAAAGATATACGCACAGAACACAGAGGGTTAGATAGAGAGAGACATGTATATATATATAGAGAGAGAGGTAGAGAGCTAAAGACAGACATACAGAACACAAAAGTTTAGATATAGAAAGAGAGAGACAGAGTGAGAGAAATACGAAGACAGAGATTTAAAGATAGATGCTCACAACACAGATGGTTAGATAGAGAGGGATATATATAGAGATAGATGTAGACAGACATTTAAAGATAGACGTACAGAACACGAAGGGTTAGATAGATAGATAGAGAGAGAGAGAGAGAGAGAGAGAGAGAGAGAGAGAGAGAGAGAGATGGACAGAGAGAGAGAGAGACAAAGACATAACCTTATACCGATAAGCATACAGAAAACGCAAAGTAACCAAGAGATTTATTCACCAATGCAGTAAAATGGGATACTTGGAATCGAGCTCTTTTTAGATGTAAAATGTAAACATTTCTCAGATCGATCCGCTCTTTGATCAAAGAGTTCCTAACTTGAAAGAAAACTTTTGAGCATTGCTATAAACATGTTGGCTGAAACTCTGGACCCAAACGTCATTACTTGCAGACATTCAAATAATATGTAAAACAAAAGTTCCTACAGGGATAATGAAAGGATTTTTGATTTCAGTCAAAAAAGTGTGACACAAAGTAAATGCATTATTGGATGATACAAAAATTCCAATCTGCAACTATAATGTGTAACTTCTAAAATGCACAGATAATTAGTTAGTTAGTTAGTCTTTCCTCTTGTGTCGAGTGCGGCACATAGGGCAGAGGTCGTGACTCTCCATGCACGGCGGTCCGTTGCAATCCGTTGTAGGTCTTGGATGTTTGAGTGGCCCATGAGCGAGCCTTCCCTGATGATAGTTCTACGTAGGGTTTCCCTTGGTCTTCCACGAGATCTTTTCCCCTGTGGTGTCCAAATGAGGGCGTGGTAAGGAAGTCTTGATTTATCCATTCTAAGGGCGTGGCCGACATAGTTCCAGCGGCGTTTTCGTAAAAAATTAGACACATACTCTTGCCTGGATTCTTGCCTTATTTGTGTATTGGTTCGGAAATCTGACCATTTGAAATTTAGTATTCTTCTAAGGCATTTATTTTCAAAACTGTCTAATTTTGTGTCTAGAGTTTTCGTTGATTTCCAGCTCTCGCATCCATAGGTTAGTACTGGAATCACACAAGAATTGAAGATCTTGAGTTTTGTGTGTTTGCTAAGTGTCTTTGATTTCCAGATGTTAGACAGTTTATTGAAGGCAGATAATACAGCAATAAAAACCACATCAAAAACTGATACTACTAACAAAGAACAGACGGTCTAAAGCCAAGAATAATTTCTGATCTTATTTTTTTTAAGCGTTTCTTTCATGTGTGGCTGCCGTCTGAGATTACGTGTGTAATAAATCAATTTTAAAACAAAACTGTCTCAATTTTTTGGGAAAATATTGACTTAAAAAAAAAATCAAAGGCTGAAATGATAAACGGAACAAATGGGGGAGAAAAGGAAAACTAAGAAATTACGTTTGAAAGAATTTGGCTTACGAGATACCCATTATAGCAGGGAATTCCCCTTGCATGTTTCTGATCGTAAAACAAATTTGATCAAAAATAATTCGCAATAATAGGTACTTGTCCTATACAGATATATAATTTCACCCGGCCTTTATCATTATACAAGGAAATCTTGCTTCTAATAGGAAGGCGTACAAGTTTACTGTATTTATGTACTTACTCAAGTCTATACAAGCATTTGAACATCTAAGTCTCACCTACTGAATTATCTTCAAGTGTATGTAGTTCTAAGTCTTACTCATTGAAGTATCTTTAAGTCCATGTAGATCTTACTCTGATCTTCTCAAGTATTTTCAAGGGTATGTTGATCTTAGTCTTATCTACTGAGTTATCTTCAAGTGTATATAAATGTAATTCTTACCTACTGTAGCCTCCACAAGTGTATGTAGATCTTACTCTTACCTACTAAAGTATATTCAAGCGTATATAAATCCTACTCTTATCTACAGAAGTATCTTCAAGTGTATGTAGATATAAGTCTTACTGAATTATCTTCAAGTGTATCTGAATCTACTTCTTACTTACTGTAGTCTCCTCAAGTGAATGTGGATCTTAATCTTATCTACTGAAGTGTCTTTAAGCGTATATAGATCAAAATCTTACTGAATTACCATCAAGTGAATCTAATCTACTTCTTACTTACTCTAGTCTCCGCAAGTGTATAAAGGCCTTAGTCTTATCTACTGAAGTATCTTCTAGTGTATGTCTATCTAAGCCTCAATTACTTACCTGTCTTCAGGTGAGTAGATCTAAGTCCTCCTTAGTGAAGTATCTTCAGGTGTATGTAGATCTGAATTTTACCTACTGAAGTATCTTCAAGTGTATGTAGATCTAAGTCGTACGTATTTAAGTATCTTTAAATGTGTGTAGATAGAAGACCTTCTTACTGAAGTGCTGTCAAGTGTATGTGCTTATGGCTTACTTTATGTGTATGTAGATCTAATTCTCACTCAAGTTTCTTTAAGTACATGTTGATTCAAATCTTACTTACTGAAATCGTGTCATGTTTGATGGGTTATTTAACTAAGTCTCTTCTGTTAAATGTATATTACTCGTTAAAAATCAAGGGCTACTTTTAATTAATCTTAGTTTAAACCGTAAAAGAAATATTCTATAACCGTAAACAATATTACTGAAAGCGGCATTTAGAGAACACACAGACACGCCACGTAAAGAAATTGAAACACTGATTTAAATGCAATCAGAAGTTTGCTGCTACCCACCTGTATAAAACCCACACACTAGATATTGGACAACTAGACATTTCAACAGACAGCAATCTCTGAAGCAGCAACACAGTCTGCTGTAAAGTGTGCTATCTGTCTGTTTAAAAATCACACAATAGATATTGGACAACCTAACATTTCAACAGCTTGCCCTTCCTGAAGCACAAATGCAGTAAGTTGTGTAGTGTGCTGCCCATCTGTATAAAACTCACACAATAGAATTTGGACAACTAGGCAGTTCAACAGCCTGCTATTCCTGAATCGGATATGCAATAAGCTGATACATGGAGATCAACCACACGTCATGGGGTCTAAAATCTCTCCATAATTCTTTGGGTCATAGAGTGTGACACTGCAAACCGTTAAGTAACTTCCCGGATACATCAATCACCTGTAACCCACGCTATAGCCCTGATAATGAAAAATGTCTCAAGACTTATTCACGATGCCACGAAGCTAGGTCGCTTGTAACGAAGCTACTTATTCGCTTGCCCCTTGCTGCTTGCACTGCTTTTACTGTCTAGGAGCCTGGAGAGAATGCGGAACCTGGGTATAACCAGAGGGTCTGGCCGGCTCACAACACTCAAAGGAGATGGAGGCAAGACGGACATATAACCAGATTGTGACCGGTACCATCAGTATTGGAATTCTGCGCTGGCTGCTGAAAATGGAGAGGAAGCACGCATGAGAATAACCCGAGTGCTGTGAGGTCAATTCTTGACTCAACTCAACCTAACTAAGCTCAGTTCAACTACTTTCGAGGATTGACAACACAAAACGGCTGTCAGTTTCACTTATACATTCTAACAGTTTATTCTGATAATTATTCAGACACAGTCATCACTAATCGCTTCTACAATATTCCAACACTAGTCATTAACTGGACATTGAAACTATATCTTAACATACGACAACTGTCTTCTTTGACTTCTGATACGCAACTGACCACGAGCCAATCTTGGGCTTTGCCCCATTCATATCTCCAGCCCCATGCGTCTTCTCTGGGTCAGGTTTTCAACTAGGTTTGGTAAACGTTGAACACCACGCAAAGCACCCCTCAAGAAGATGGTATGTTATTTTGCCAGCGATGAAACCATCCACTGATTGTTAAACAATTTAGGAATAAACTCTGTTTTTCAATAACAATAGACAGTGCATAAGGACTGGTCATCGACTGTTGACTCAAAGTGCCATCGCATTAGGTCAATGACAGGGGATAGCCTGTCTTGTGGCACCTCCAGTGTTTAATAAAATTACAAAGTGTATTTTTCACTAGGGAAACAATGCATGTAAATACAGGCACAATGAATGACTATTGTGTCCAACTATTATCAAAGGCTATGCCATTTATAACATAAATGGAGCTTATCACGGACTTGTCTGCATGACGAGAGTTCCTTACCCTCCCAATCCTGCCGTGGTCGATCGCATGGCCTGTCCTATATAGTAGGGGTGTTATAAGATGGCTTTGTTAGGTGTTCGCATGCTATATTGAAAGTTTGTGTTTTGAGTTTCTCTGAGGCGCAACGTGTGCGTGTGTATAATTAAAAAGTACTGCAGGGGAAAGTATTGAAGGCGCAACAGTTCGTGAGTATCGGAACTAGTATTTACTTTTTCGTTTTTTTTTTTTTTTATTTGTTGTTCCTTGGTGGTGGCTTCCCTCAGAAAAAGAAGCCACTGAAAACGATCGAAAATGGAGAAATAATAAAAATAAATATGAAATATATCAGTTTCGAAAGTCATGAATCGTCGGGTAAGTAGCACAAGGCAGAAAAAAAGCAGGCAAGTGAGCGATGACAATACAAGAAAAGAGAGAACGATAAATTTGTTGAAAATAAGGAATAAATAACACCCTTTAAACATAGCAGAGGGCGTTTGATAAACCACGACATTAATGAAAGGGAGAGTAACTCTCGCTGTGAAGGCAAACTAGTGATAAGTGCCACACAAAGATAGTCTAATAAACAATTTCTCTTTTCAGATACCTCTATACAAATCTAAATATGCCAGCAACCACGACAGTGTTTTTGTCATTAACTGTAGAAATTTCATCAGCCAAATTTCTCACTGAAGAACTCACATGGGCAATTTTTCGGATATTTCGCTTTGTGATTATTCCATGTATCAGCGTGTTGGGAATATTGGGGAATGTGACCAGCATTGTCATACTGACTCGACAGGGATTCCGGAAATGTTCCAATATACTTCTCTTGTCTTTGGCTGTCTCTGATGTTCTACTGTTGATTGGTGCCAACAACGTTCCTTATTTTATATACACTTTCATTTATCTTGGAGGCTTCTCTGGAAGTATATTTAGCATTTGTTTTATATTGTACTTGATTTTTGACTGTGCGTATATTGTTGGAATGCTGTCGGCAACCCTCATCCCAGTTCTTATTACAGGGGAACGTATGTTGTCCATACTTTGCCCATTGACTGCTCATTTATTCTTAACTCCCAGACGTACAGCAGTTGTTGTGTCTTATGTCTTTTTTGTGAGTGCAGCCTATTGTTTATATCACGAGATGTTATGCCAACAGTTACAGAATGATGTCCTACAGAACAAAACTGTAGGCATCAGTCTCCACGCTGATATGTTTACAAATCATATCGGAAGCGAACTGTATCAGAAAATAACGCGAATAGCCAACTTCGTAACAGGAATCATTTCTATCAGTCTGGTAACGGCGGGCTGTGTTGTTATTGGACTCAAAGTTGTACACATTACCAAGAGACGCCATCTGATGATCTCACATCGAGCCACAGCCACCACTAAACACGGCATGACAAAGACAACAAGAACGTTAATGAAGATTTGTCTACTCTATACTGTGTGTTACGGCTGGGCGTTCTCTCTTATCTACGCTCTGGAGGTTACACTGTTGGAAGAAGGACTGCATATTATGAGTGTGATGTTTTGTGTTCAGGATATGTTACTGTGTTTAAATTGTGTTGGAGACTTTCTGATTTACCTCAACTCCACGAAAAGTTTTAGGCAGACCAAGATCGTTGGTTGAAGAATAAAAACGCAGTAATTAAAGACAAAGATACACAATGCAATGCCAGTGTTGTGTGCCTTGTTGCAGTGGTCTAGCTGAGGTGCTACCCCATGCGGAACACTCTTTTATCACTCGAAGTGGCTACTCTTTGACATGCAGGACAGGATTTTACAAAACGCTTGATACCTGCTGTCATACCAGGCCAAAAGTAATGACAAGTAATGTGTTGTCTAGTGACGTTGGTTCCCATATGGGCGCTATAAGCAATAGTGTTTACCATCTGTAGGATCCGTTGCCTATAAGGTTGTGGTATAACCAACTGGCTATGCTCAGTATGTTTTTCAACACTTATCTGGTAAAGAATGTTACATTTCTTGGCAAAGTTATTCTTCTTCGGTCGAGTGTGACTATCAGGTAATTTTCTAAAGCATTCTTTATGGATGGGGTCATTATTTTGGGCCACGCTGATTTCCTTAGGTAAGGGATTTATTTACATGTGAGGAATCGCCAGAAGCACTCTTATGTTGTGCCCTGATGGTCACAGCAGCGATATACTGTAGTTGTTTAGCTGGCTCTGGCAAAAACACATGGTTTGTCCCTAAAATCAAGGGAAATGTACAACAGCATCAGTTATCCTGGAGACATAATTAGATTTAACCCTTGTCCTAGTAAAAGGCAAATTTATGGGTTGAGATTTCAAAGTAGCACATTGGAGCTCAATTATTTCACCTGTATACTAACTAGGATACTTGATATGAGGGGTAAAAACCGCTGAATAGCTAAGCCCTGAGTCAGAGAGACAAACAACAGATTTTCCATTTGACTATACCCTCTCCATCACGGGTTGCTTATTAGAACAATTAAAAAGGTGTTCAGTGGTAGAGAGCACAACAGTAAACCTGAAAGCCCACATCTGCAAACTTGTCATGCGAAAAACATTCATATCCTAATTTCTCTATCAGTTTTCCATTACGACCCAAAAAGGTGTACGACTCCACGTATTCAAGTGGGGTACCGTTAAGAGAAAGCACATCATTATTGTCCTAATGAATTCTCTTTATCTTTGTCTTTCCTTTATTGCTTCTGAGACCTAGCTGTCATGATCTCGAACCAAGTATATTTAATGTATCTTTCATTTTATTCAGTCATTGGGGCAGAATACACATTTAATTTTTTTTAAGGGGTCCACTGAATTCCATTCCATGTTACCCGGTGACGTCAGCAGCCTGGTCCGTCAGCTGCAGTCTGTCGGGCATCAGCAACGTGTCATAATGAATACGAAAATAAAATAAAAAGAAATATGGCTAGATCTATTTTTTTGCAGACAAATCTGCCCTCGGTGGGTGTTGTGGTCAGCATCACGCCGGCTGCCTTTACTTCCCACGACTGTACCTGTTACCGATATAGGGCTGGGTCTTACTGTGAAGCAGTGTTACTTCTGAAAAAAAAAAAGTCTGACTCTATCAGGACTCTAGCCCAGATATTCTGATCCACAGCTAAGTGTCTAGCCACGACAGAACTTGAGCTCTCAATACAGAGTATTTTTATGTAAGTGTCTAAGTTGGACAGTGTCTCTTTTTTCTTTTACATTGTAAAAATTATGGTTATTAACTTATGTAATTGATAAGTTAACATAAAACCATCATTATTATGTGCCCTGCCAACTAGTGTCGGCGCTCATGCGTCTCTACAGATCACGATCCCTGGTTGCCTGGAACCGCTCTCATAATGATATCACTTTATGCCATTGTTTCAGCCCACCCAGCATCATCTCTCTTGGTCTGCCTCTACTCCTTTTTCCACTGGTCTTTGTAGTTGTTACAATGCTCTCCAATGTCTTTGTTCTCATTTTGTGGCCAGAGAAGAGTGTTCGTTTCTTTGTTATTGTTGTATATAGAAATTTACTTTTATTAGCGTTTGCGTATGTTGCACATGCATACATGCAAGGTCCGACAAATAAGCAATATGACTAATTTAATAAACATTTTAAAATGGTGTGTGAACCAAACTTTATCACTATTTCAAGCACAGTTATTGTATAAATTACTGTATCAATAAGTTGTGCATCGATCTGTGAATCGCTGGTTGTGCTTTTTGTAACGTGGTTTATCAAATACTTGCATGGTAACACAAACATTTACATTTTATCTTTAGCTGTGAATGACGTACTGTTAATTCTAGCATACCTCTGCAATCAGATACCAACCGTGTCTCCTGAGTTCATCAACTTAATGACATCAAAAATCCTGAAACGTTTACTGTTTGGTTCAACCTCTGGAACAGCAATCGTGTCTGTGGAACATATGGCATTGATAGCTGTGGATCGCTATATTGAAATCGCTCATCCGATTTACTACATGAAGGCAATGACAAAAACACGGACTTATATCGTCCTGTTTGGGTTATTGATAACTTGTCCTATCTGCCTCATGATCACTCCGACAGTTTACTATGGTGATCAGTATCACATACCGTGTAGCCTATTTCTCCAAGCAGTGGTCTACTCTTATGTGGGAGTGTCTGCATACTTTATTACTGTTGTCATGGGGTTTATATGTTACCTTAAAATCGCTCACGTGGCTTTCAAACACAAACAATCAGCCATTTCTCGAAGACTTCGCTCTAATGTTTTACAAGCTGACATTGAAGCAAGAGAAAAAGTTACTGCAGCTTTAAGGAGTGTCAAGTTTTTCGCTCTTATGTTCGGTGTTTTCTTTATCTGTACAAGCCCGCCATACTTTTGTGCTTTTCTAAATCTCAGATACGCCATCCCAGAGTTCATTCACATAGGAGTATACTCTATCATACCTCTCCATTCCTGCATCAATTTTGTCATCTACGCGTCTATAAACAAAGAGTTCTCTACTTGAATGAAGAATGTAATATTATCAATAAAAAGACATTGTTGTGGAGAAACGTGAGAGATGTAACTAAATGTACGTCAACTGGAAGGTACAGCAGCTGCACAGTCTACGGCCGTGTTATTTACTGTATTCCAAAGCTAGTTCTGACAGGCCGAACTTATGGGCCATCATTATATACCCAATAGAATACACATAGTTACAATTGTAGAGTACTTTTACTGACATCAAACTTGATATAGGTGTTGCAAACGCATGTCGTAATGCCGAGATATCAGATTCAATTCAAGCTGCATGAGAGATGTACTTTCAGTAGTTTGCCATTGCTACTGAACTGTCGACTTGTTATACCACTGTCGAAATCAGTGCACTGGTATTGAGCTTAGATTATTTAGACGCTGTGACAAACCACTGAAAGTACAAATGTTGTGTAAGATCACAAGCAGACCAAGATTGGTTCTGCAAAGTCCGGCAAGGATTATGTAACTAACAAACTTGCTACTATTTTATCACTGTTATCAATTATGACATTCAGCATTTTATAAACAAGTTGTAATCGTAATCTAATAAAACCTTATCCCAGCAGATAATTTATACTTCTACAAAAAATGACTGTGTTTAGATAAGACATTTCGAACTATCGCTCACAGCATTCTGAAGGTTAGATGCGACAAACATACGACACATATCGCCAGTGAAATCTATTTACTGACACGGGTAATTGACATTTTCTACTAGAGCCGAATACACAGGGCATCGATTAGAGTACCGTTATGTGGACAATCACACGCGATGATAGAACAATGACAAATAGCGTTCGTGTTTACTGAAATCCTGGATCCGGATGTGAACAGAGAGGTTAATGTGTTCTGACTGATGGGATAAGCCGATGATAAAATATTACAATTAAAAAAAGGAGGGTGGGGTGCTTTATCAATATCCAACCCCAAACAGGGGAATCCACAGGTCGCTGGACTGCCTAGTATTTCTAATATGACAGCGAAAAATGTGCCTGGTGACACAAAGTGCAACCATGCGGATGAGGATCACCATTGGAAACCGCGTTTAACCGTTAGGCTATTGGGCCCCTGGAAGCAGCCAGGATGGGTCTTCAAAATAACGAAAAATTGTCACAGGGGAATGATGCAGAATAGGGAAATACAGTATATTTAATGTAATTTATATTTTATTTAATAAATATTTATAATTGTGGTGAATGTATTTTGCATTTTATTATACAGAGATTTAAGAGTGTGATAAATGTAATTTTTATTTCATTGTATAATTATATAAGACTCAGTTGAATGCAAATTTATTGCAGTGAAAGGGTCGCTATAGTTACTCAAAAAATTACCACCAGTGTAGATAAACAAAACACACAAGTTATTTCCATAACATAGCCAAGCTTCTTGACTCGTACCTTCTTTGTTTATAAAAAGAAACAAATGAACTATACCTGACAAGCTCATAAGAAAAAAAAAAAAAGGATGAAAAAATATCCACAAACATAACTTTAAGTTTATATCGAAGATAATGCTTAACATGTTATCTGTTTTTTGTGTCTTTGCAACAAAGCTGTTTCACTGATGAACAGAAATTGACGAGAGAAGTATAGAACTCTTTGTTGATGCAAGCATAGATGAGAAAGTTGATGGCTGAGTGAATCGGTATCAGAGAAAACATTCCTACATTAATATTCGCTGGCAGTTTGGAGAGAGATTCGAGCTCAGACATCACTGTCGACGTCAATGTACAAAAAAACGATGAAAAACTTGATACTTTTTAGGGGTTACTACACGGCATTTTTTCCCCCATTTATGACAAAAATATCACTTTTTCAATGTGTTAATTTTTGTAACGTTCGGCATTCGTAGAATAGATGACACACAAAATTTGTGTCATTGGTAAACAATTTAGCATTGAAAAATAATACTGAAGACACCAACCAGTACACTTTTTTAAGATAAAAAAGAAGTTTAAAAGTCACTTTCCTAACAATTCTATTTTTCTGTTTGTTGTGTGTGGGATCTCCTAAAATCTCAGCTAATATGAAGACTAGAGACGTGAAATTTGGTGTGGATACTCCCAACACAATATTATAGGGTCAGGTCTATTTGAAATTACAGTTTAGTAAGTTTTTGTTTAAAAAAAAAGTAA